AGTTCCTTTAATTACCCTGATCATCTGTTTTTTGTATTCGAGCTGTTAACACCTACTCCACATTCGGTATAAGTCACATGTGCTTGAAACAAGATTGCTGAATAGGTCAATTTTAGTTGGCATTGTATTTTTTATTTTTTGATTTAATATAAATCAACGGTCTATTGAACTGATCTGGAAGTGAAACCGTTTTAAGACCAAACATATACTCACTGTTTGTTGTTTTTATGGGATTTCCACTGAAGTTACCAAAAACAATTAAAATGTCACTCCCCTCACCTGTCAAAAAGTAATTATTTAATAGAAATAAATGGCGGAAACCAAGAAACCACAAATTTCAAGTAAACCCTGAGAGATTAATTAAGCCATTGGTTACCAATCAACAGAAAAGTTCCCCTTTTTACTTAAGAAGTTCTGAATCTTAATATTATTGACATGGAAGTGTAAGTTGGAGTCCTAATGGAGTCTACCTAACTCTGGAACAAAATTCAATTGTCTTAAAAAGGGAATTGCTGTGTGTATCAAAGGACAGAACCCGCCTATGCCTTCACAATTGTTGTATTGCTTCTGCATTTTTGCTCCACCTCTGCAAGTAATTGCTTAGATTTTATCATGTGCCCATTTAGTCAAGTTTGGTCAGGACCACACTTCCTTTTCTTTGAAAATAAGACAGTTTCATTGAAACTGCGGACTTCCAGTCAGCTGCGTTTCCAGAGGGGTGGCGAGGGTTGGCGGCGTAGGTGCTATGTCCCTTGACAGAGGATGGTCTTGTGTGAAACTCAGCTATATGGGTGTGTTGCAACATGTTGCTAGTAGTTTGAAAATGCATCTCTTTTCATTCCTTGAAGTATCAAGCAAATAAAATGTCTCCTCTATGTTGTGAACCTTTTAAAACGTTAAAAAGTCATACAAAGTTAACTATCAGCACCCCGGGGCACTGGTGGGACTGTGGTATCATGTATGGAGGATATGGTCCTCCAGGCGGGAGGGCTACCCGGTTTGAGTCCCACCTGTGGTTCCTTTCCCAAATGTAGTTCCCCATTCTCACTCTCCCTTATTTCCCACTCTGTCCACTGTCCTGTCTCTCCAATTAAGGCACAAAAAAGCCTGCCAAAAAAAATCAAAAAATATATATATATCAGCACCCCAGTTGCCTACCACCTCCCATCCCCAGAGTCTAAAAAGTGTGGACACGCCCCTGCTTACATCATATAAAGGATACTATGCATGATGGGGAGAAGGGCATCATGACTTCAGGAGTAAACAGTCGGACCACACACAAGGCCCCTCTTAATGACCTGACAAGAGCCCAGGAGGCTCCTGTGATTTTCCCATCTGGATGCATCATTACCTCGGTGGGGGATCTCTAATACTGTCATCAGATTTAATGGCTGATTTCCTCTTCTGTGTTCCTCTTCAGGTGTGGCCACCCTCCTCACAGCCTGCGCCATCCACTATGCATGAGAGGAAACTGATGCCTTGATAATGACCCCTCTGCACGGACAAAGAGAGAAGGGGTCTGGTTTGCACATTGAACTGTACAGTTAGAGAGCAAGCAAAGCTCTGAGCCACTTCTGATAGCAGGGCTTTAAAAAAAAAGAGGAAGCTGTGGTGTGACCAGAAAGTTGGATCAAGCAGGAAGCTTGCCAGGTTGACATAGAAAGGAGGGGGTGGGAGTTGGGCTGGTGGGGGGGTTTGAAGAAGTGAAAACATCGGTGGCCGGAGAGGGAACAGACAAGGACTTGTTTTCACTGGGTGTGACTGTTTTGAAAACACTCCGACCTCCTCTGCTTGTCTATTCTTAAACCTGATAAACTGAAGGTCATCGGTGAAAAGTGAAGGCCGTGTCAAAACCCAAAAGGAACTCTTCCCTGTGTGTCTCGCTTTAGAGCTACAGCAAGAAATGACAGAACTGTTGTCATTGTAGTGAGGATAACATGGTTATAATCTCCCTGAAGAGACAGATAACCTTAGGTTGTGATGACTTAACTTATGTCAACAGACAAGATGAAGATGCTGAATGTTTGAACAGGCGAGTCCTTGTTTTGCTGCTGGGTTGCAATTTTGACCAACATTTTTTCAGAGCAGTTCATATCTTTAGGTTGCACGGCATCAGTCGACCGTTTTTTTGGCTTCCTGGAGGCTTAGTTATGGCTGCAGACAGCTTGTGTTTATTCTCCAAAGTCAATGGAATGTCTGGATATTGATAAGAGTTTGCATGTGAAATAGTTGCAAAGGTAAAAGCCTGAACTCCGTACTTAGTGTATGTAGTCACTTGCAGTCGCCTTATTAAAGGACAGCACTGCTACTTGGTCAAAATATATTTGTTTTGGAGTGATGAAATATTTAAATGCCAGTTTGTGTAAGTATTCATTTTGGAAATAAAAGGAATATGATCCAAATGTGAAACATTTAAAGTAATTTGTCCTACTTTCTCCTCAATAAATCCATGACAGCAGCTACAGTGCATCATTTATTTCTTCTCTTCTGTCCAAATGTGAGCGCCTTCCACAACTGTAACTGCGCTGAACACCTCTGCCAAACCACATGACATAAATTACAGACTCTGTGATACTTTTCGCTTCCTGCTTGGGTTACTTTTCATCCCTTAAACTATGTAATTTAACTGCTAAGTGGCTACAAAACCATCCGGAAAAATGAATAATTTCTTGGATTTTCTGCATTTTAGGAACTAAAAAGTTCTTATTTATTGTGTTTTCATTCCTACGAGCATTACAGCCTTCACTTCAATGTCACTGTGCTCTAAGTGGAGTGGACAGCATGCTTGCTCCTTCAGACATTTCCACTATGCAGTAATTCACAACATACTCCCATGAGCCACAAGGCAGGAGTATATTTAGGCCCCATCTTACATTTCCCTCACGTTCTGGGGGCCAGAGGGGAGATGGACCGAGGGGAGCGTCTCCAGCAGACGCTCTCAGCTCAATCCATGAGATGAGTTTCATACGAGGGTTGGCTTTTCATGCTTTTTTTTGGGGGTGGGGGTGGGGGTGCGTATTTATAGCGGCTGAGGTCAGGGAGGCAGAGGCATGCGGGGTGGCCTTCTTCAACCGAGCCATGTTAAGTGATGCTGAGGCTGCAGGGGTGGAGCAATGGCATGTCATTCCATTCTAAATCTAAACCTCCATGTTCATGACAATAACAGTCCGATCATGAGCGGTGAAAAAGTGCGCAGAGCCGACCTTTTGAAGTCTCTGCCAGACGGTGCTCTTGTGAAAAGTGGATACAGAGCCTGTTTCAGGGCAAACATCATGAACCTGTGAGCCAATCATATGGCTGTCATTATTGACTTTTGGATATTATGGAAGAGAAGATTTGGCAAGTTTTCATGGGCGCAACTCACATACTCAGCTCTGCAGCTTATCCCACAAATGCATGTTCCTGACAAATGTGGCACCATTTAAAAGTGAATAAACAGGATTCCCAACGGTATAAGATTTATTGCCAAGAAGCATTGTTACCACAAAGAAATAATCTACCAAACACAAATTTCCTTACTTTTTGTGCAATGTTTATATGGTGTGTGGCCAAATGTTTAGTTCTTGCCTTTTAGTGTTATATCAAGAGATGCAGCACTTTCATTTATACTAATGTAAATTTAGTTCCTTTATTGGTCGATTCTTGTTCCTGTGTTAGCAAAGTCTGTAGGAACATTTCTTAAGTTTTCAGGGTGATAAGGATGATCCGACTGAAGAGATTGTTGCTGAATCATTGTGTAACACAGCCCTGACCACTTAAACATGGACCTCACTCACACAAAGTGGTACTTCAGTGGGAATTGAAGTATTATAGAGAGCTGGTCCGACTATAGCTCACTGGTGCGAAGTTTGATAAACAGCCAAAGAGGAAATTATTAGATGTTTATTAAGCTCTGCTCAGCTGTCATAATGACAAAAGACATAGCACTGTAACTGATGTAGCCACCAAACTGTTTAAATTCATAGGATTAACAGCAAGTAAACAGTGCAAGCAAGCTGCACAAGCAACAACTTGTGTATGTTTAGTTTACTCAGAACTATGTGATGGATACACACCAGCTGAGTAACCCTTGGCTACCGCTTGGCTTGTGTCCGTAGTGGAAACCAGGCTATCATCTGTCCAGCCCTACCCTCTCTCGGACAGATCAGTGTAAAGGATCCTCATTTAGATGGTTGGTAACACAACACAGATTATTATTCTGTGCTGCAGGGGTTTGTGTGGACTCTTCCTGGGGCATGAATCATTAAACAGGTGAGTGTAATCCATACAGACACACACTTCTCAGGGTTAAAGGGAGCTACCTGATGCTGCCTCTGCTTTGAAGACAAAGCGCAGATTGCTCAACTTTCAACAAGGAATCTGAACTGAAGATGAACTTTTTTTTACTGACGTAATAATGTTCTCAAGTAACTTCCTAGTTTCCTTTTGAACTGTGATAGAGGAGTAAAGTAGAGAACAAGAAAATCTGCAGAGTTTGCATTCCAGAAATATATAAAAAGTGAACATTACAAGGTGAACATTACAAGGGAATCATGTGACCTGCATTAAAATGTTACCTAAACTCTAGTGACATTCTTTACTGTATTAATTTCTCACACAAAGTTGAAGCACCTGGTCACCGTTAATCTGAAATCCCAGTGGGTGTCTCAGTAACCCATGGCAACTGCTTCTGTGTCAACAGAAATCTTGGACTGGCCAGCTCCTGTGGTCTCGCTCTTTGTTCAGCCATTGGCTGGCTGAATGAATGACTTGCAAATGCATTATGCATGCTGGTTTACCTTTTGAGCATTCTTGAGCTCATTTCCAGGTAAGCACAGCTGAGAGGTTGCCTGCCTGCTTCGGTACTCTGGGCATCCAAAGAAAAGCTCTGAACATCTTGGTAAGGTTAGGACTAGAAAAGCAGCAAGGGGGAGTAAGATTTTAAAACAATGTATACAAACCTTTTCTAAGCTTTGCAGCTTCTGTTATCGTTGTTATTAAGTTTGGTTAAAAGACTGTTTTCTAAAGTTATTTCATGCATTGTCCAGGGACACCCTGACTGGAATCAAAATGGAGCTGATCGGATCTACTTTGACAGCTACATATGCTCGTCCGAAAACCAGCCACTTCCTCCCGGCCATCTCCACCATGGCATCCAGCTATCGCAACACCCAGCCTGCCTTGGCCATGAACCCCAGTGCCAACCTGTGGAGGACCAGCGGCTATTACAAGAACGGCAACACGATCCAATCTCCCTCTTCTTCCATGCAGCGAGAGAATTTAGATTTGGTTCGAGCCAAGACCATGTTCTACCCTTCCAACAGGACAGTGCTTTCAACTCGCTACACTCCGGACGACTGGTACAGGTCCAACCAGATCAACTACAGGGAGTCCGAGTCATCCAGGAATAGCGCGGAAAGACTACGTAGAGACACAATCAGGCTGATGCAGGATAAGGAGCAGCAGACCAGACGGACTCAGGAGAGTACCAGCAAAAACATTGGGGAGCGGCTCAATGACATTGTCTTCTGGAAGTCGGAGCTGAGTCATGAGATTGACAACATGGTGACAGAGATAGCAGCCCTTGCCGAGGTCAAGAGGAGGCTGGAGAGAGCTTTGGCAGAGACACAGGGGCCCCTACAGGTAAGGAAAAAGGAATATGTTTAAATTAGTATGTGCTAACTTGAAGTTTTCCCTCTCTGGTTATATGAATTCAAAGTCATGTTAACGGACCAATCAGCAGGAAATATTTACTATTCTCCAAGGACAAGCTGCCTTGAAATCTGAACACCCTTGTCAAGCCTTTGTTCAGTGCACTCACATTATCATTCATGCATATCGTGTCTCAGAGTGCATCAGTATCTGTGGTGAAACAATTTTGACGAATGTCAGTTTGGTTATAGCAACAGTATCCATCTATTAATTAGGTCACATCAGTGTCTTGTTAAAGTGCCACTGATCGTTTGTGTCACCTAGAAAGAGTCAACTTGATATGGCTTGAGATCTGATGACTCCTTGTTAGGCTAAGATCATGTGGCAACAGGTTTCTCAGAGACTCCTAAAGGTAACTGAAACTGGAGAACGCAGCGATACATTACTGTGACCATACAGGAACCCTTTTACCTAGGCACTGTACTTACAAAACTGTGTGTGGACTATACTCAGAGAAGTTAAATGTGTGAACGCTAAAATCAACTGACCTAAACCAGTGACTGTATTTAATTATGGATTAAATACCATCGTACAACATTAAATCCAAGATACCCCACTGACAGGCATTGATATATTGCGCTGGAGACATCATTTTGAGCCAAGACATAGGCCCATATTCAGAGGCGGTCAGCGGAATTGAGGCCCCGCTCCCTTTGCTGACAAAAGCACACATATGACTTACCAATAAACCATCAAAGACCCCTCAGGGCGGTACATTCCACAGCAGAATAGATTATTTTTTCTAAAGTTATTTCTTGGACAATTTTGCCTTCAGTGGACAGGACAGATGAAGAGAGGGGGAAATGTTTGGAGGAGGGAATGGGGGATGACATGCAGAATAGGGCTACAGATTTGAACCCCCCATAATGTATGAACACTTTGACATAAATCAGCACTATAAGAACCAACTATGATGACAGAAAAAATATTTATAACAAATGTATTTTACATGTATTTCAATTTAAAGATTTGCCCCATGTCCCATCTGTTAACATGGAAGAGGCATGTTATGACCTATACTGCAGCCAGTCAGCAGGGAGGGCTCTAAATCTTTTGGCTTCACACCTCAGGGGCTATTGTGCTGTCCATTCTCTATACAGTTTATGACACCTGTCCTTTAGCCTGCAAGTCCCCTAATACAAAGTCAGTTCAATGTACAAATGTGCCAGTGTGTTATGCATTAGGTCATTTTACAGATCTTTTAAAAACATCAGGTAGATGGTGGCACCTCTGTAGTAGCCATAGTACTGTTGATGTTGATGTTGATGTTACCAAAGTGTCTGTAACAGACTATATCTCGCTGTGTGTTTCATTTGCGAAAGGCCAAGTCCTGACAATGTGAAATGTGAAAAACTGCTCCAAATACTGTACCACAAGCATTTGAATGCCATGTTGAAGTAATGCAGAAAATGAAAATGTTTCAGGTAACCTCAATGATTCTCGTGATAGACTCGCCTTTAACTTGTTCTAATGTTGATCCTACTGTCAACAGGTGTCTCAAGAGTGTTTGTACCACAGAGAGAAGCGGATGTCCATCGATCTGGTGCATGACGATGTGGAGAAGGACCTCATAAAGGTAATATAAAAGCAGCGGTGACAGCATATGCAAAAGTGACTTCCAGGGAAAAATAAATGATCCCACTGTATCTCTATTTACACATGCTGCAACAAGGAAGTGGAAGTCATCAAGTCCTGTCAGGAGAGGATGAGACGGCACCTGGACAGAGCCATCGCTCAGCTGGCGTGAGTCAGAAAAGCAATCAATAAAATATTCCTTAAGAGGTATTCTATAACTTGATTACTTCTTAAAACTTGAAATGTGATGTCTATTGGATAAATTGCCTTTTGGCATTGCTTTGTTGGGTTATGCAGGTCAAACCGAGCTGCCCAGCATGAATTGGAAAGAGACATAAGCGACAAAGTGACAGCTCAGAGGATTGATGGCAGGTGCCACCATCTGAGGAACACATCAGACGGAATCGGCTACTACAGAGGGATTGAAAGACTTGACCCTTCGTGAGTTCAATTTCTCACTGCTCTGTCTCACACCATCGTACAGCTGTTAACAATTTCTCCCATATGTTTGAACCGCTTGGTATACACGACTGGTATGTTCAGTGTAATTGTCAGACTTTCAATAGTCTTTGAGTGTCAACATGGCTGTCTGCTGCCCTACTTTGACCCTAAACTAGGTCTTAACATATCAAATTAGTTGGCTGCCATGCGAACATCGCTGATAGATCCAATAGAAAAATACCATTAAAGGTATTACAATTCATCTTGAAAGGGGACATGAGTTTCTGTACTAAATGTTGTAGCCACTAATTAAATAGATGTTTAGACATTTTCCTTCAGAACAACAAATGTGAACCCTTGCATGAAGCTAGAGGTATGTCAGGGGATTGCTAAAGTTATTCGGGTTCATCCTCGGGGAGCTCCATGGGAATCCCTTCAAGAAATGTCAATTTTATTTTAAACATGTCCCTTTGGAACAAAATGGACCAACTGATAGAATTGATAGACTGACACTACCTCCCAAAGAGGCTGCTAGAATGGTAAGAAGCTATTGGTGCCACAATGGGGGTCATGCCCTCTTAAGATAGTTGTAGTTGTACAGAAAATAACTTATCCCAGTGCATGTAAGCTAGTGATAACAACAATAAAACAGCCCAGACTTGATTGAAGATAATGCCAACCAATAGTTTAACCCATATCAGCACCAATGATAAAAAGCAATTTTTTGTGTCTGCCATACAGCTTGTAGAAACACCGATGTAGAATCTACTTCCAAAAACCTCAAGTTTCTGCAATCCATCATACCAACTGCTGTTCTTGTCCCCTTTGTCAGACTCTCTCTGCCAGACTCGTGGTCCAAATTCACTGATGACAACATCCTGCACTCCCAGAGCGAGCGAGCCTCCTCCCACAAGCTCAGGGACGAGATAGAAATCCTCCTGAACACCACGTCCAACGAAATGTGGAACCAGTTCAACAACGTCAACGTGGCCTTCACAAACCGCATGTCAGAAACTGCAGATGCTAAGAACAGCCTGCAGACACACCTCGCAAAGGTCATTCATTGTCAATTAATACCTTTGACTCATTTCACAAGTCTCATAAGTAATGAATGTTCACTGTCTTCCATCAAATTGCTACTAAACCTTCTATTAGAGAGAAACCAGTTCAAACGGCTCTCGCCTTTTATACAAACAGTACAAATGTGCAATTTTTCAACACAATCTGACAACATTGTTAGGAATGTAGGGTAAGATAAATCTTTATTGTCTACCAAAGGGTCTGTAGGGGACATTTGAGTTGTCCATTGTGGATTATGTGCATATTAACTGTACAACATTCCTGTCAAAAGAAAAGAATAGTAATAGATTCCTCCTTTATTGCTTGTGCCATATTCTACACTGGATCCCATTGTTCTTGGGTTAACTGTAAGGGGGTTAGACTCTGGATTCACATCAGCTGTTGGATAGGTTTGAACACTGACAGCAGCTGTGATAAAAGGCACACAGTCCTTAATAAACCACAGGCGCTGTCCATTTCAAGGGGTCTTGATTCGCAGGAATTAAATTACATCAAATGAGTTTGGACAGAGCACGCCACTGTGCTGCACAGTCTTCATTTGATTCCAAGCTTGAAATGTGCATTTTTTTTTTTACATTTTCTGCACTTCTTTCTTTAAGAGCCCAATGGTTTATCCCCCTCTCTTGTCATTTGTCTCTCTCACCTTTATTTCCTCCATGGTAGCTAAGCTGCTGAAACACTCAGCTTGTACTTCAATGAGTTGACAACATGAGTTGTTTTTGTTCTGTACCCATCTCCTCACCCAGACCCTGCAGGAGATCTTCCAGACTGAGATGTTGATTGAGACCCTGAAGAAGGCCCTAAGAGACAAAGAGTGTCCATTGAAAGTGGCCCAAACCAGGCTTGAGGAGAGGACCCGCAGGCCCAATGTGGAGCTCTGCAGAGACAACCCTCACCACAGGTACTAAAGCTTGTCAACAAGTGTTACCGTTGGACAATTCATACATCAATAACTGTCCTTTACAAAATGATTCAATTAAATGGATTACGTCTTAATGGTCACTGTGCAAGATAACGAATCAGCCAATCATCTCCTAGAAGCATCTCCTCCACATTTGGACTATTACTCGACAGTTTTCCATTTCACTGATTTATGCTTAAAAAAGCTGACTTGTGGAAAGAGACATTTTTTACAGTGTTTTAGTTTAAGGTGGCTTGAAGTACAACAATATTTCCCCAAATATAACCCGTATCGTTCTATGTTTAGACTTGTGAGTGAGGTGAGAGAGATCGAGGATACCATCCAGAAGCTCCAGGAGAGGCTGATGGAGGCTGAAAACACTCTGCAGAATCTGGTCAAAACCAAAGTCACCCTGGAGCATGACCTGTCCATCAAGGCCAACTCGCTCTTCTTAGACCAGGAGAAGTGCATGAGCACGCGCAAGAGCTTTCCTAGCATGCCCCGTCTGGTTGGCTACACGTAAAAGAGTCTTCACCAAGGGAGCCTTGGAGAACCGAAATGGACATTTTGACTTTTTTTCATGTATTTGAAGTGATGAAGAGGGTGATGTGGGTTATTTGAATGTGTGGAAAATAACATGACTTTGCAGGCAATGATAACAGAGTCTGACAATAAATGGTGCATTATTCCAATACTGAGAATTGTGCCTTTGGTGCGTCCAGTTCCTTGAAAAATAAATAGAATTTGCCATGGATCAAACTTTTCGCCTTTATTGGACAGGACAGCTGAGAAGAGACAGGGCATGCATCATGACCTCTGCATATAGGCCCAACTGGGTCCAAAAAGTGCCAGATATAACTTAATTTTGACATGTTCCAGGAACCCGACTATACATCTAACGATTGTATGCGAATGTTTTAGGAAACTTGTGTAAACACGCTTGACAGAAATATTTTAAAAGTCTTAATTATCATCAAATGTATTACTGCATAAATAAACCTCAGGGCCAACTGTGATATATGGGGGGGGGGGGGGGGTATTGCTATACAAATAAACAATGACTTATATATGACAGCATTTACGAAAATGAAAATATACCATATATTTTCACCCTTTCAAACAGTGTGTTGGGACTCAGTAACTAAATCCTTGTTTTTGCACTACACTGGCAAAAGCCCCTTTAGCTCATGTGACTGTAATCACCAAACAAACAGCCGGCATAAGCCGGTTCTCTACAGGCTCAAGAAGAGGACAAACACATAATTTCTTAATAGGTTTATCAGAATGGTCAATGAAGCTGACCTGAATGTTTCACACAATGAGCACACCTTTCTAGGGTGTCTAGATTCAAGACTACGGTCACCAACCCGACTGCACAAAACACAAACCTTACAGTATTTCAGACATGCTCTGTAATCCAATCACATTGTTCCACATCATCTAAAACAGACCGCAAGAGAGTCAACTGCACTTTTCTCACAGTCAGACTAAAAGACAAAGAAGCATAATACGTGTCAAAATATGATAGACAAGATTAAAATGGCTTTACTTGGATTTTTTTTCCAAACCATTTGTCCACTGGAATGTGCATTGTATCTGAATGTGACCAGTAGGCAAATATTGGAAAGAGGAGATGAAAATTGTTTGATTTACTCTGACCGATTTTGCTTCTAATGATGCATCAGCAGATAATGTATCTAATTTCTCTTTGCACATGATGTTTTCTGGAGATAATTCCATTTAAACAGTATGTTGATTATTATTATTATCATTAATTCAAACAAAACAAGAAAAGAAAGTAGGCTTTTAACAACTATGTACAGTCAATTTTAGCAGTAGAGCATTTCTCACGTTTGGATTACTTTTTCCACAACTTCTATTTTTCCATTGCTCCTGATTTAGGAAAGTGTTTAGAAGAGGAGTTCACTAAAACAATGATTTTGTGTTGGGAAAATAATAGGGGGGTTCAAATCCCAGTCAGACAGGAGCCTCTCTGTGTGGAGTTTGCATGCTCTCCCTGTGCATGGTTTGGTTCTCTCCGGGTACTCCGGCGTCCTCCCCCAGTCCAAAGACAAGCTTGATAGGTCAATTGGCGACTCTAAAAAGATTGCCGGTTGGTGTGAATTTGAGTGTGGCTGGTTGTCTGTCTCTATAAGTCAGCCCTGTGATTGACTGGCGTACAGTCCAGGGTGTACCCAGCCTCTTGCCAAATGACAGCTGGGATCGGCTCCAGCCCCCAAATGGGTACAGCGGTATAGATAATGGATGAATGGAACATAAAAAGCCTCAGAACAGAGTAGCAGACACAACAGAATCGAGGGATTGTGATATGAAAGTTGGCAGTAGTCAGATACATTTAGTGCACACAGAAATATGGATCGTAAAGGAATTTTTGTGGCCCATCACTCATCACCTCACCCATAGGAGGAGCTGGGTAAACAACATCTAAGTTATGTATAAAGCCCTCACACTGCTCTCCATACTACTCCCTCTATCAGCCTCTTCAACTCTGCCCCTCTGTCTATTGATGCCTTCACGCTCGAGTTCAGGAAAAGTCGGCACCTCAAGAGTTAACATCCAGCTTGATCCAGCCGATGTAAAGAAGTGGAGAGTGGGTCAGTTTCATTCCATTTTGTTTATTCAGAACCTGAGCCAACTTTGAATGCACACTAACACTGGGACACTGTTTTGAACCCAACTCTGTACTACTGCACTTCCTGTGTGACCTTTGGCTGCTCGGAGGAATGTAAACACAACACCTGTAGAAAAACACGCCTCAGAAATGTTTGAGTTCAAAGTCGCCTCTGCAGAAGTCCACACGACTCCCGGAGTTAAACTGATCACAGTTATCACGCAGTTAGGGGATTAGATCACACAGTAAAATAAATAAAAATGACTGACTTTAACTTCATCTCCTGTAGCTAAACTTTGCTTCATATCTCTGCTGTCTTATAATAGAAGGAGGAGGAGGTTACATATTCAAATAAAAGAACGGAGATAGAAGGTGCAACCTTATACCGCCCTCTTTTATGTTTGAAAAAAACATTTTAGGTCATTTTTTTAAAGTACAAATGTGTTTATTTTCCATCATCCATATCTGTTGGGGTCGGCAGTAGCACAGTCTGCAGGGACTTGAGTTGGGAACCGGAGGGTCGCCGGCTCAAGTCCCTGGTCTGGTAGCTGGAGAGGTGCCAGTTCACTTCCTGAGCACTGCCGAGGTACCCTTGAGCAAGGCACCGAACTCCCCCTACCACCAGCTGCAGGAGTGCTCGCTGTGGGCAGCCCCCTCACTCTGACATCTCTCCATTAGTGCATGTCCACAGGATCCTGTTTGTGCATGTGTGTGTATTTTAAACAATCCTTTTGATTTAAACTTTACATTACCACAGTGTTTCCGAGCTCATTAAACCCATGAATAAGCCCATAACTCATGTTTTTTTGTTTTGTTTAGAAAAAATCTGCAGTGGTCGCCAAAATCGACACAAAGTCAGGTTCCTCACAGGAGCTTCATTTCAATCAGGAGAGACTTAATTGAGAATGAACAATTATTTATTTACAATAAATGTGCAACAATTTGATTTTGAATGTGCAAAGTCTTTGGGGGATTAGACTCCATCGTGACGACTTCCAACTCGGAAAGTAATGAAGCCGACAGCAGGTTAGGAGACCACCCCCCCCCCATGGAGTCTAGACACTGGTGGTGGTGGTGAAGAGGAATGGAGGATATGATGAGCCTGAATCTGGACTCTGCTGAGCTGGAATGGAGGTGACTGGGGCGGTGGTGGGTTGCAGCGGTTGCCCTGAAATGACAGAATGACTGTGGAAGAGAGAGAACTGTTTTAGCATTTTGCCGCAGCAGGATGATTGGTTGAGAGAGGTTGTGCCCGAATCTAGTTGGTTAATTACTTAAAGAATAAACGTACATTATCAGCTGATCACCAGAGAAGGGAGACAGAGGAAGTAGTAGGGGGAGTGGTTTAGGTTGAAGTGAAAGGATGAATGAATGAGTGGAAGAATATAACCAGTCTTCCTGTCTGAACTTACGCTGAGCTCCGTAACACCAACTTAAAAAGGATGTGTGGTACACACAATGAAACTTCCATATTCACAGGTCACATGGAACCTCACCTTTCATAGAAACACAGCCCTCTGAAGAAAAGTAATTTAATGCGTCTGTTGTGAGGTTGTGAAATCCTGTAAATCCTTTTAATTGGCCGAAACATTAAAGTAAAAGCAGGACAACATCTCTTTTATAAATACAGAGTAGTTTCACTATGCAGACTCCTAACAGGAGGGAGGGAACGACCATAAAGATAAACCCACTCTGTGTGTGTGTGTGTGTGTGTGTGTGTGTGTGTGTGTGTGTGTGTGTGTGTGTGTGTGTGTGTGTGTGTGTGTGTGTGTGTGTGTGACTTGCACTTTGATTTCAGTGTAATGTTTTACAACTGCATTCTGTGTTACAGTGAGCTGATGAGCCCTCTCTTTGTGTTTAACTGAAACCCTCAGGAGCAAGTCAATAGCAGGCGTTTCTGCCATGGTTTCTCGATACATGTAGTGTGTGCTTAACGTGTTTGTGTATGTGTGGGCCCTTGTAGACCCGCTCCTCTGGCCCGGGCACATTCCTGAGCCCTAGTGTTGCAAAGAAAGGCCTCCTGTTGTCCAGCTAACATCAAACGACTCGCCTGTTCTCATCACTTTGTAATTAAACATAGTGACTGATAGCAAAGATTCCTGTCCCCATTGCTTTCCCCTTCCAACTCCTTCTTTAACGACTCTGGAATACATAATTCACCTTCTTTATGTTCCCCTGAAACTCAGGGTGGGAAACCGTAATGCTGCAGTATAAATGCAGGTATCTGACAATCATCTTCTCACAAAATGAGCCAATGAAAAGAAATAAAAATGTGGAGGGACATCAGGCCATATTTAAAGTAAGACAGTGGCTCTGTCTGAAACCCAAAACGCATGTCAGCACTCAAACTATCCAGTGGTGGAGCTTGCTAGCCATCCAGCCATCCAACTGGCAACATGTACCAACAAAAGAAACCTGTTTCATGTTTTACATGTTTTCAAATGATGCATATATATATATATATATATATATTAAAGATTTATTTTGGGGCTTCTTGTGCCTTTACTGTAGAGGCAGGACAATGGATAGAGTCGGAAATCAGGGAGCGAAAGAGTGGGGAGTGACATGCGGGAAAGGAGCCACAGGATGGATCGCGGGCTGCTCTAAGTTAAAGAATATAGCATGGCCTGTTTCTCTGCCTCTCGTGCTTATTTAGAGTTTATGGGTCCCCTGATGGAGAGGACACAAATAGGCCATCCTATTTGACCTCCTCTAACACCCCTGCACATGGGGAATGTACTCTGGAATTCTCCCCGCAGTCCGAACATATTGGCAGTTTATTTTTAACAGCAGCTCTTGTTATAGATGCCCCTTTGCCCCGTGTTATTTTATGGTTCATACATACCATCATGCCATACTAAGGAGCTGATCGTGGATCACTTCAGGCTGGTGTCAGTCACTGAGGGGTTTTCACTCCTGTGCTGTAATTACAGACATGGACTGAGTGTGCATCAGCGCTGGATGCCGCGAAGAGTTTTCTTTCTGCTCGAAGTTTGCTCAAACCGTTTAGTTGGTTTCTTGATTGTTTAAGTGCTGAATTTAACAGTTATGAACATTTTATAGCTCATG